TCCAGACCCCTCCCCAGCTTGGTTGCTCTCCTCTGGACATGCTCCAGCAACGCAACATCTTTCTTGTAGTGAGGGGCCCAAAACTGAACACAGTATTCAAGGTGCGGCCTCACCAGCACCAAAAAGTTACATCAGGTGCAGCACGCGCCGCAAAACCCCCCAGGCCAGGTCGAGAGGCAAACCCACCCGGTTTGCCTCCAGCATGAACAGTGCTCCCCCCGTCCCGTCCCGTCCCTGGGGAAGCTGGTGAAGGTGAGAGGCTGAGGATGGAGTGGGATACGAGACAAGCACTAAGTGAGAAGTGTCCTTAGATCACAGTTTCACGCGCTCCGCAGGCTCGGTGCCGCCGCAGCTATGGCTTGCGTCGTGTGAGGACGGCCCAGCAGCAATCCAATCGAGCCCAGGCAACAACGTCGGGCCGGGCGATGGGGAGGCAGAGGGGAAAGCAGTTCCTCAAACTGTGATCTAAAAGCAATAGCTCCCTTCGAAGTGAGCGCACACTCCGCAGCCAAGCGGCCGTGGGGGACGGGTGTGCCGGTACCCACCTCCAGAAGGTTTCTATTGCTCCGGCACGTTCTGGGTGGATGGAAGAATGACACGGACTAGCCAGCGAGTCTGATGGGGGATGGACAAAATGGTATTTTTTTTGCATGACGCACCACCACTTACCAGCAAGAAGCTTCCTATGTTCTTTAGAAAGCAGGGAAGGGGGAGGAGAAAAAGGAGAGAACAAAACAGTTAGAAACAAGAAAACAGACAGCTAACACAAAGCTTTCCTGCCCCCCCCCAGGCCCCCTCCTCCAATGCTCCACTACCGACACTGCCTGGGGCAGCTTCCATCCACCTCTTCCAGCCCTTTCCAGGCAGCATCAGGCTCCCAGATCACCCCAGAAGATCGTGGCCGGGTTGCTGGCCTCCTAAGTCCATTGATTCAAACATGTTTTCGTGGCACAACAGGCTCCCAAATCTGCAGACTGCCAGAAAACAGCAGGATCCTGATGTTACCACGCACTGCAAAATCAGGCACCGCAAAACAAGGAGGAAACCAAGAGCCCCAGAACCAGAACACTGAGTATGTGCAAACGACACCAAAAACCCCATCAGGGTTGCTGGCCTCCTAAGTCCATTGATTCAAACATGTTTTCGTGGCACAACAGGCTCCCAAATCTGCAGACTGCCAGAAAACAGCAGGATCCTGATGTTACCACGCACTGCAAAATCAGGCACCGCAAAACAAGGAGGAAACCAAGAGCCCCAGAACCAGAACACTGAGTATGTGCAAACGACACCAAAAACCCCATCAGGAACGTCTCGGCACTGTCAGCCCCACAACACACAGATGCTGGATTAGATACCACAGCCGGCTCCATCC